TGCAATTCGAAACACCCTCCAAGCCCACGAGAAATGTTGCCCCTAAATTCATTGGAGGAAAAATCCAATACTCTTATGGAATGAGATGATCGAAGACAAATAAATGAAGGGATATACCCAAAGAAGGTGTTGTTGCTGACATTGAAACTTGTCAAATTCCAAGCTTGTTGGAAAAAAGAACAGGGAATTGCACCATGGAAGTATTGCTTGACAAATCTATTGTCTAAATATTTTTGGTTAGTAGAGAAAATGGTATCTCTCCAGAAAGAATGTTATAGCTCAAATCAAGGATCTTGAGGTGATTCAAGGATGAGAAGAATTTGGTTTCAAGTGTGCCATAAAGTGAATTGTGGGAAAGGTTCATGTGGGTGAGATGTGTGAGATTTGCAAGTGATGAGACAAACATACCTCCTTTGAGCCCTTTGGAGGGTAAGAGCAAATGAGTGACCCAATCCTCTTGATTACAAGTGATGCCGTTCCAATAACAACAATCAACAGAACTGCACCAATTTACGGGAGGAGAAGATAGAGTGCGGGCGAAGGCCATAAGAGAGGTGCATTCAATTTGGTTGTTTGCATGAATATTTGTTGTAGATATAATGAAAAAGAATAAGAAGACGAGGAGGAAGCCATGAGGCATTTTTCAAACTTAGATATTGCTTAGAGTAACAGGTCTGCATATGTACATATATATAAAAGCAACCAAAGGTATGCAACTAAGCATGCTCTTTTTGTGTGTGTGGTGATTAATTTTTTTTACCTTGCACGGTATGAAAGAAACCAAACGGCGATGACCTCTGTTGATCGTGGACTCGAGAATTGGCAAACAACCTTGACCGCACACAACCGAATGACATAAATGACTCTGCAAAACAAACAAGGTATCACTCCACCTCGACGTAGAGCTCCGTCCACATTGACTTTGTAGTGTCCTGAGTCGCCAACGCCGGAGGCCAAATGCCACCTAACCTAGATCAACACCTCTATGTCGCTCACTGCCACCAACTGGAAGTCCTCAAGCAGACCTCTGGATCGCTTGATTCACCATCTCCAGCTTATTCAGTTATTAAGGGAATTCTTTTCGGACAGCAACTCATTTCTTCCTTTCTAAACTACCCAACGAGCCATAGAAAACAAGTGGAGCTCCTCCTGAGTCGAAGCATGAAATTCCTCACAATCGTATAAAAGCAATGAAGGATGGTTACTAAGCAAAAAAAGATTTCCCATCAGGGTTCCAAACAGAAGAATGCAAGAGGTAAAACAGAACCAGGGTATTCTCTAAACGAAATGGTTCACCAACGGTCCCGAAGGATTCCAGATGACATTAAAACTCAACATTGCTTGAAAAATAACAGAACTAGGATATTCTCTTAGATAACATGCATGAAAAGGGGACAACGTTCAAAATTTGAAATCACTTAATGAAAATCCAAGTGTGTGTTTCTTCTCCATTGAAAGAGAGTTTCCTTCAGCTTCTTCTCGGTTTCCTTTTGAGATCTAATAGCTGCTTTAGCTCTATCTTTCTCTGCCTTCTTCTTCTTCCTCTCCAAGGGCAGCTTTTTTTTTTTCAATCTCCTCTTCTCTTTTCATCTCCTTCAACTTAGCGGATCAATTTTCTTTTCTTTTGGGGTCTCCTTTTCAGAAACAAATATTTCCTTGTCTGCCACGTCAATATCAGTAGCTTTTGGAGCAGTTGATTTATTTTTGGTATCTTCCTCAACTTGTTTTGCATTAGACTTTGGGGCTGTCTCTACCACAGGTGCTTCCACAACCACCAATGGCTTCTCATCCGGGTTTCTTATACATCCATCCCTACTCATTTGCCGGGTTTCTTATACGTCCATCCCTACTCATTTGCCGGCCTTTCCAGAGGGACATAAATTTCTCGACCTAAAGAAAAAAATACCAAAATTTAGAATGCAGATGCTATATGGAGAAGTTAACAATGCGCAGTCATGTAACAAACCTCTTCATGAAGAAGTGCTTCGAGTGCTTTAACATTGTTCGTAGCAGCAACATTTGTCGCCTTGGTCATGACCCCATGGCCATGGTAAAAGCCAGCATTCTGAAAATCATAACAATATAATTACAGGGTGATAGTATCACACATAAAATACAACCATTAAATGCACCCCTTCATGTCAGAAGGATAACTATTAATCTTGAGGGCATACGTTACAATAATTAGACGAAAACCAACCAAATAAGAGGCTACATCCCAACCAAAAAAACTCAACTCTTATACAGCAAAAATAGATTACAACTGAACTAAAAATTTCCACAAAATTCATTGGAGGGAAATTTCCAATACTCTTATGGGAGGAGAGGATCGGAGACAAATAGATGAAGGGATATACCCAAAGAAGGTGTGGTTGCTGACATTGAAACTAGTCAAATTCCAAGCTTGTTGGAAGAACGAAGATGGAATTGCACCATGGAAGTGATTGTTTGACAAATCTATTGTTTGGACACCTTTTGGTGGTAGAGAAAATGGTATCTCTCCAAAAAGAAGGTTATAGCTCAAATAAAGGATCTCGATGCGATTCAAGGACGAGAATAATTTAAGTTCAAGTGCACCAAAAAGCGAATATTGCACATTAACATACATTTTTGCAAAACCTTGAATGCGGCACAGACATTTTCCACAGTGAAAAACAAAAGTAAATGACATCTTGCAAAGCAAACTTGCCATCGAGTACAATTCAACGCATCACGACGTAGAGCTCCGTCCCCATTGATTTGTAGTGTCCCTATTCTTCGACGCCGGTGGCAGAACGCCACCTAGATCAACACCTCTATGTTACTTAGCGCCACGAACGGGAACTCCTCAAGCAGACCTCTCGATCGCTTGATTCACCATCTCCGGCTTTTCACTTAATAAGTGAATTTTTTCGAACAGCGACTCATTCTTCCTTTCCAAACTACCCAACAACGCAAAAAGCCATAGAAAACAAGTGGAGCCCCTCCCGAGTCGAGGTATAAAAGCAATGAAGGATGGTAACAAAAAATGATTTCCCATTAGGGTTCTAAACAGAGGAATACAAAGGTAAAACAGGGAGTGTTAAAACCACTCATTCCCCAAAACTAAATGGTTATCCAACGGGAATTGCAGATGACATTAAAACTCCATATTGCTTGAAAAATAAAAGAACCAGGATATTATATAACGATAACATCCATGAAAGGGGACAACGTTCAAAATTTGAAATCACATGAATTAAACCAAATGTGTGTTCACAGCAACTCTCAAACAAACGGGATTTGCTAATAAGGTCAGAAAATTATACGGTGCCTGAAAAAATAGAAATAATGGATCTTGATCACCTAAAATCCCACAACTTCAACACCCATGCTTTCAACCAAAGAACAGCCTTTCAAACCCAAAATTCCTGATGTACAAGGCAAGTTCCAAATCGAATGCGAAAGAGGTGCAGCTCCTGACGGTGGGGAGTGATCGGAGACGTGGCCGCAGCCCCTTGTTTTTGGGTCTTCTTGAGAATATAATAAGGCCCATTGGGCTATACTTCTTGTAATAAATTTGGGTCAAATAGTTGAGATTGGATCTAAATCCTGCTATTCAACCTCTATTATGTGCGTGGAGCCTTATACCAATAGGAAATGCTACTTGCTTTGTAACAAGTGTTACTGAATGATTTCTTGTAATTCTTCTCACAATAGAGTGAGTATAGAATGAATAATAATTATGTGTCGAATTCGTTATTTATGTGAGTACTACTTAAGCTTAATTCATAAATCTCCTACGCTTCAAAAAAATATTTATAAAATGTAATGGCACTACTGAGAGATCAACATCATATCAACAACACCTATTAAATGTAATAATAATGAGAGATCTGAAAAGAAAAACAATGTATTCAATTTATTTTGGTTTGGATGCTAAATTACGAACGAGAGACTGAAATTTAAAGGAATTGTTCTTGAAAATAGAAATCTGAACTAAAATTACAAAGAATGATCTCTAACTTCCTACAGCTGTATAAAAGTTTTAAAGAAACTGTTACAAGAATATTAGTAAATTAAATACAAGTGGAATTTTTGTCATGACCAATTGAAACAAGTTTATCTTATAACTATATTTGTTTCTCAATAAATTGAGTAATTTGCAACTTATGCATAAGATCTTAAACATTATGAATAAGTGGTTGCCCAAAAAAAATATTATGAATAACAGTAGACACTGCGAGGAAGGTGAGAACCTTGTAAAATCATGATTATATAAACGTTACTACATTAAGGGGTGGTGCAATAAATTAGTATCGAACATATCATCCACAAAATTCGAATTGAGACTTTTCAATTATAAGTGAAGAAATGTATCACTAAACCAAAATACTAAATAGCATTGTAAAATACAGTGCGGTCCCAATCGTTGTGCCAAAATAAAAACATTTAGATATCTCATAATTCATACAAAAGCTGCTTCACATTGTTAATTGCAATCATTGTGTTAGGAGGGGTTTCTCTGGAAGATTAAACTATTCTTTTGAGACCAAATTTGCCAACACATAATGAGTATCTTATCATTGACATTCGACTTACATCATGGTGAAACTTGAAGCATAAATTAATAATGGTGATGCTATTTGAACAACGAAGTGATACATTTGTTAACACATTCTCTAATACATGTGAGACTCATATAGACACATACAATGGAGTAACAACAAACACATGCATTAAAAAGTGAGTCAACGAATGTGCCAAATTTTGTGTGACCAAATAGGTTTATTGCACTATAATATAAGAACAAAGATTACATCAGAATGAAAACATACAAACAACAAAAATAAAAACTGAAAGAGTGATGCTATTTTCGTACACGAACATTACACACTTACTGATTAACTCCCTAATACAGATGCGTACATCTGCATACAATGGTAGGACTTCCATTCGAGAGTGGGTCAGCAAATATATGTAAATTTTGTGTATCCATATAGTTTTATTGAAACTGAAAAATATATAGTAAAACATAGAATCTAGTCCCTAATCCTTCTCTTCATCTTGCGCATGCATATTGCCATCTTCACATAGAGCAAATCTTGTACATTATCCAGAAACTGAAAATACTTGTACCTCCATGTCTTCTTAAGAAGTAAAGAACCGCAAACTCCCCAAAATCCGACAATGAAACCTAGGGTTGCAAAAATATAAAACCAGGGAAGCTCATCACCTTTGTTGTCCACATCTTGGTCGACGTTATTCTTGTTATCTGCATCAATTTCTCTGCATTCATTTGGAAGTGGAGCACCACAAAGTTTAGGGTTCCCCACAAATGTAGAAGCATCAAAGCTCTGGAGATGCGTGCCTGTTGGTATTGTTCCTTGAAGATTATTGTACGAGACATTAAAATTGTTCAAGAAATTAAGGCTCGTCATGGACCAAGGGATTTTTCCGGACAAATGATTCATGGAGAGGTCCAAAGCCTCTAAATTTTTTAGGCTAGATATTTGGTTTGGAATGTTGCCGGAGAAGTTGTTGTGGTTAAGAAACAATTTTCTAAGAAACTGCAATTGGCCGATCTCAGTAGGTATACTACCATTAATGTTATTTGCCGATAGGTCTATCATACATGGAAGGTTAGACGTTCCACGAGGTAAAACATATGCCTTGTTATATGCATAGTTAAAGAGGGGAAGTTCAAATTCATAATTGCCTATTGAAGATGCATTCACCACCAACCTTGGTAATCTACAAAGTTGTTTGGGAAGATTACCTGAAATCATATTGTCTGCCAAATCCACCAAAAAGAGATTTGGAAGATTCCCCAACCAACTTGGAATTGACCCTGTGAATTGATTCGCACCTAGAAACAACACCTCTAGATTCTTTAGGTTTGATAACCAACCAGGTATCTGACCAGTGAGCCTACATGAAGCCAAACTTAAGAAACGAAGATCTTGGAATCCGTGAAAATCAACCATGTCATCATCAGTTGGCATTGCTTCACTGTCAAACGAACCGCTAAACATGAGTGTGCGAAGACTTCTGCAACGGCTTAATATATTCATTGCCCCTGTTATATTGGTCAACCGTACAGAAACAAGCGAGAGGAATGACAAGGATTTCAATGAAAGAATCTCATATTGTATTTGTCCTTCTAGGTAAGGATTACTACTCAACCGGATTGCTTTTAAAGACCTGCATGAGTAAAGGCTTATCGGCAAGATACCAGTGAAGTTATTCCAAACTAGGTCAAGTTTACTAAGGTGGCTAAGTTTGGAGAAATTAGACGTTGTGAGGTCTCCTTCCAAGTTGTTGAATCCCAAATGTAGTTCTACAAGGTTTGTGCAATTCATCAAAGATGGGGGCAACTTACCTTCTAAGTTGTTGTAATCAAAATTCATGAATTTCAACTTGGAGAGCTTCCCGAAATTGAGAGGGATCACACCACTCAAATTATTAAAATAGAGGTCAAGGCTTGTGAGGTAGGTGAGGTTGGCAATTCTTTCACTAATGGCTCCATTTAGTGAATTGAGAGGTAATACAAGTTCCTCAAGTTTAGTAGCATTATAGATGTCTTCCGGAAGTGATCCTGACAAATTATTGTGACCAGCACGAAGAATCTGTAGTTTGGAACACCCCCCGAGCCCACGAGAAAATTTGCCACTAAATTCATTGGAGGAAAAATCCAATACTCTTATGGAAGGAGATGATCGGAGACAAATAGAAGTAGGGATATACCCAGAGAAGGCGTTGTTGCTGACATTGAAACTAGTCAAATTCCAAGCTTGTTGGAGAAAAGAAGAGGGAATTGCACCATGGAAGTGATTGCTTGACAAATCTATTGTCTGAATATTTTTGGGTGGTAGAGAATAGAGTATCTCTCCAGAAAGAAGGTTGTAGCTCAAATCAATGATCTTGAGGTGATTCAAGGACGAGAAGAATTTGATTTCAAGTGTGCCATAAAGTGAATTATGGGAAAGGTTCAAGTGAGTGAGATATGTGAGATTTGCAAGTGATGAGACAAACATACCTCCTTTGAGCCCTTTGGAGGGTAAGAGCAAATGAGTGACCCAACCCTCCTGATTACAAATGATGCCATTCCAACGACAACAATCAACAGAAGTACTCCAATTTACAGGAGGAGAAGATAAGAGTGCGGGCGAAGGCCATGAGAGTGGTGCATTCTATGTCGTTGCTTGCATGAATATTTGTTGTAGATATTATGAAAGAGAATAAGAAGACGAGGAGGAAGTCATGAGCCATTTTTTTAACTTAGATATTCTTGCAATAACAAGTCTGCAATATATTATTTATATAGGGGCAACCAAAGGTGGCTATGTATTATTTTGTTGTGGGTGTGGTCATGGACTTGAGAGGGGGCCGCACATGAAAACGAGCATAAAAGTCAGTATTTCATTGCAAACAACCTTGACCGCACATTCATGTACATTTTCCAAACCATTCAATATGTGAGAGAGATTTTCCACAGTGAAAAGGGACAAAGTTTCAAATTTGAAATCACATAAAGAAAACCAAATATGTGTTCCTTCTTCTCCATTGAAATGGGCTACATTGTAGTAAAGAGAAAGGTTTATGAGCTGAAATGGGTTAAATTGTAGTAAAAGATTTCTTCTACTCTAGCATTCTTGATGACTCCATTATATCAAGGTATGTCAAAGCAAAAAGGGAAAAAAAATGTGTTTAATGTGAAGGTTTTGTTATTGAGAAAACCAATCACCTTCAATTCCCAAAAAAATTGTATGACTAAAAGGGACAAGTTTATTTTATGACTAATCCCATTGTAATCCCCTGAAAATGAAAAGTTATTCACCTCTATCTTCAATTGAGCTTGAAAACACTTGAACTAAATTGACCCAATGACTAAAATACGAGGATCATTTTAACATTTAAGCCCAAATTTTTTATAATTAAAAAAAAATACACTTGTGAGTGTAGAATGAAATGTTTAAAGTGCTAATAACAGTTTTTATAAAAATTAATGTATTATTACTTGGTCTTTATGTGGAACTATAAACGTAACCACTATTCTTTTAAACAATGGTTGACGGTTTATTTCCTTTTTTTTTTTTTTTTTTTTTTGGAGCACCGGACTGATGTCAAAGATGTCCCGGCCACCGTCCATCTTCTCTGTTTAAAAGGTAAAGGTTTCATAAAAATAATAAATAAAAGAATGTTTCGCTAATTTTTTTTTTTTTCCAAACTATTGTAAATGACCAATGCCGCTACTTACATCATGTTTCTCTACATTTCATCCAACCATTGTAAAATATACGTTCAAGAAAAGAAAAATAACAAATACATATTTAATGACCGGAATGTGAGGTGGTAAATCCACCTCACCGTTTTATTAATTCATCCTATTTTTTAATAAAAAATTTAGTATCAATTTTACCCTTTTATAAAATAACAAGGACCAGCACAAAAAAGAAAAAAGAAAAAATCTCTCTGCTCATCATCCCTTTAGTTGAATTGAGAGACGTCGGGTCGGAGTATCTTGAAAAATGTGCCCTCAATTGTGGAGAATGTGAATTTGATAATTGAGTCAACTTTGATTGAAAATAACCCAATAGAGCATATTCTCAAAATTTCGTTCTCACGCTCCATTTTCAAACTTGGAAAAAACTGAAACTAAAAAGACAAGAAGAGTGAGAAAATCCGCTTTGGCTCGTCTCTAATCATGCTAGTGGTCCTTTTCCTCCCTCCCCTTTATTTTGTCTCCCTGGACTTGTCTCTGCCTCTCTATCACTTCTTTCTTCCTCCATCTATAACACCATCATTTCATTTATGTTAATGTCCTCTCTCTCTCTCAAATTTCAGACTCGTTTTCGAAGGTGTTTAATCATTTAATTTCAGTTTTTTTGCAAGTGAAAGCGATGAGGAAGGGATATATTATAGCATATATATATATATATATATATATATATATTAAAAGTTATTTTAGAAATAATAGTGGATGGGAAAATAACATTTTCATTTTTTTTTTATGCAGTTTATGTGAAATGTGGGTAAACTATAATGGAAAATTGGTCATTTATAATGGTCCATGGAAATAGCTAAATGAAACTAGGGTAAAATCGGCAAATATGGTTTCAAGGTGAAAAACGGGGAAATTGTTTTTTTATTTTTAAGTTTATGTTTGTTCTCCATATATTAATTTTTAATTAACTATGAGAATTATTATTGGCACTCTAAAAAATTTAATCATGTTGCAGTCATATTAGATTAAGAATCTGATTGTGTAAATCTATATCTAGGGATATCTTGTAATATTCCCTAGAGTTAGATATTATCTTATTAGAGTTGTAATCCTAGTAGGGTAAGGATTTAACATTCCCTACTACTATAAATAAAGGCACAATGGGGTGAGATAAGACACGTCTCACAATTACACATCTCTCTCTTTCTCGCTATGTGCTGCACCCCCTCTCTCTGTCCTTTATATGATTCAGTAAATTAGCCCTACAACAAATTATGCACTTTAAAGTTCTTATATTTTAAAAAAAATATATACTCTTGTAAGGAGTGCAAATTATATTTTTACAATGTCAATAATAGTTCTCTTAAATATTTGTCATCAATATAACAATTTTCTTTGAGTCCTTTGAAGAGTAAGAGCAAATGAGTTATCCAACCATTCCAATTACAAGTGATGCCGTTCCAATGACAACAATTAACTACTCAAACGCACAAGAGAGGTGCATTCAGTTTGGTTGCTTATAGCTAACAAGTCGGCACACACATATGTGTGGGCGCAACCAAAAGTACGCAGCTGATTTTATTTTATTTTATTTTTAATTAGTATTATTTATTTTATTTTTGCTTAGAATTATCCAAACCCCTATTTACATTTGAAGAGAATTTCATGGCATAAAAGAAACCAAAAAGCGAAGACCTCCGTAGGTCATGACTAAAACAACTAAACACAGCTAGAGATTAAGAAGTTGTTTTGCCACTGGTACTATGTAACCAATGATATTTCTTCTCATTTGTAAGTATGACATTTTAAGTTTAACTCGTGTAAATTGCGAATTCAATATCAATTTATTGTGTTGGTTTTCATTTTAATACTATTTAGTAGTGTATACGGCATGCAAGAAAATAAAAGATACGACGTCTCTACAAGAATGCGTGCAAATTGTAGTAACCAGTCGAAAGTGAAAGTAGAGGAGATAAGTTTCTAATTAAGAAAAATCATCACTTTCAATTCCAGAGGAATGGCATGACGAAAATGAAATAAGTTTTTCTAATCTCTTAAAAATGTAAGATCGTTCACTCTACCTTTCATTTGAGCTTAAATCTTGTCCAATCCAATCTAATCAATTTTAAGCACCAAATGAGCATAAAAATTATCATCGCATTGCAAACCCTCCAATACGTCGAAGAGAGATTTCCTCTTAAGAATGATTTCTTCCATTCCCAACTACCCAACAAGGCATAAAATTCAAAACAATCGTATAAAAGCAATGATGGATGTTTATTAAACAAATAAGATATAATGAAGAGAATAACGCAAGAGAATAAGATATTGCTTACCGTAACTGCATATATTTTATATATATGTGTGAGCAAAAAGCAAAGACCTAGTTTCCCAAAAAAAAAAAAAAAAAAAAAAAAAAAAGCAAAGACCTAATTCGAGATGGTGTGGTTTGAAAATTCATCGGATTTAATTCGAGATGCTTTTTATTGAGGATTGCCATAATTAGTAATTACTTTGATTGTACTCTTTGGAGGATAGTTAACTTTTTTAGTTATGCGAGACACTATTTCTCCTTTTGTTCGGGTTGAAATCCCCGACAGGATTTTTATCTATGCCCATTATGCACCATATCCTTTATGCTTTGTACATTTTTCTCTTCTTCAATGAATATTGTATTTTCTCAACCAAAAAAAAAAAAAAACAAACAAAGACCCTTGGTTTGCTGAGAAAACTGGCAAACAATCATGACAGCACATTAAGGTACTTTTTTCCAAACCCTTCAATACGCCAAAGAGAGGTTTCATAACCCTTCAATACGCTAAAGAGAGATTTTAGAACCCCTCAACGACTAAAAGACTTTAGTTTTATTTGATCACTTTCAATTCCTTAGGAATGGCAGGACGAAAATGAAATAAGTTTGTCTAATCTCTTAAAAATGTAAAATCATTCACTCTACCTTTCATTTGAGCTTAAATCTTGTCCAATCCAATCTAATCAATTTTAAGCACCAAATGAGCATAAAAAATATCATCGCATTGCAAACCCTTCAAAACGTCGAAGAGAGATTTCCTCTTTAGAATGATTTCTTCCATTCCCAACTACCCAACAAGGCATAAAATTCAACACAATCGTATAAAAGCAATGATGGATGTTTATTAAACAAATAAGATATAATGAAGAGAATAATGAAAGAGAATAATTTATTGCTTACTGTAACTGCATATATTTTATATATATGTGCGAGCAACAAGCAAAGACCAAATTCGAGATTGTGTAGTTTGAAGACTCACCAGACCTAATTCGAGATGCTTTTATTGAGGATTGCCATAATTAGTAATTACTTTGATTGTATTCTTTGGAGGATAGTTAACTTTGTTAGTTGTGCGGAACATGTTTTTCTCATTTTTCGAGGTGAAATCTTCGACAATATTTTTATTAAGACTTATTATGCACCTTATCATCTATGCTTTGTAGGGGTGGTTCGGTATGGGATACCATACCGAAACTAGTATACCGAATCCCAAACCGAAATTTTTTGGGACGGGAATTTGAAGACCAATCCCAAACCAAATTTTCGGGAATCCCAAATTTCGGGAATCCCGAAATATTTTCGGGATTTTGGGACAAATCGGGAATCCCAAATTGAAATATGAAATTATGAATTGTTCTTCAAATATATAATTCAAGAACACATTTATGAACTAGGAATTTCATTTCATTCACACTACCATTTAATTGAACACTGGCATGCTTGACTCTTTTTATCAGTCAAAATTCAAATTAATTAAACTCTTTTTGCAATCTGTTGAG